TTATATGGTGTTTGGGAGTACGTGTAAAGGAATCTGGGTCATAATTAAAGTGCCTTATAATTTAATTATTCTCTAAATATTATACATACAAATTAGAAGAAAAAGTTCATCGAATAAAATTTATTTTATCGGAAATTACAATTTAATGAACTATAGAGAAAATTATATTCACAGCAAAAGGCAGAAATAAAGTAATATTTTTGTTGAAAAAAGCAAATACGCCTTTTTATGTAAAAAGGTTAAGTATGTTAAAGTATTACATTTTGATTTGTAGTGTTTCTAAGTAATCGCTTAACCAACCTATCTGCCTAAAGGAAGGGATGCTTTCATGGAGGACATTCTAACGGAAACTCGCTCATATACTCGTTACACAGAGGGGTAACCACGGAAACTCTCATACCAGCTTAGCCCATTCGCGAAATTCGAAACTCAAAATGGTTCAGCGACTTGCGCACCTCTCAGCCTCTGGCCGCATTTCTGAAGTAATGTGCTTGTAATTAAAGTAAAACGAACTCTCCTGAAATATTTATGTCCTTTGTAATATAATGATGTGAATAACAGCTTTCATTTGCATTCATTTCATTAAGAGTTTTCTGAGCGTACTTTTATTAATTGCAGTATACATTGGCTAGTAATAATGGTACATAGTAACTATATCGTTTTAGAAATTTTTATTTTCTTTTAATATACAAGATATTCAGAAGTGACTAAGACATTTAAGAAATATTCAAGTTTCCTGATAATAATAATAATAATAATAATAATAATATTCATTATTTGCCTAATCGAAGCACTTTCTTTATCGTTTCTTATCGGCACTAAATATTTTCGCACGCTTGAAACGTAATGTTTGTCATCAGTTTGGAATCGATTACTTTGATGCTACCAAATTAATATGCAAGTAATGCATACCAAAAAAAATAAAAAATCGGAGAGCGTTCAGATTTTAACGATAGTCCAAAAAGACTGGTTAAGGTTTTTTTACGCTGTCGCTTTGTTCGCAATCTACCAGTCTGCTATTGCATTCACTCTTGCTAACCCATTTCTTTTTGTATCTTATTTGTTTGTATATTATTATAGCTTTGTTGCTTTATTATTAAACATAATTTTCGTCGCACTTACGCATATACAATTACAAAATTACAAAAATTTTAAATGCAGCATAGCAACATATGTTTAGAATATTCTTCGATGCAGTGTTAAGTGTTGGCATACTTTTTTCTATTTTTTTTTTCACTTTTTTTCTCAGTTCATCATATCAGTGTTAAGGTTTCTTAGTAACATGGCTTGAAAACTTTTTTTATTATTATAATTGTTTTGCGTTGTTAATTGTATATACTAAATACCATGTTCTTCGCACTTACGCCGCATAAAATTTAATTGAATGGTAAAATCACAAAAATAGTTAAAATAGTATATCTTTAGAATTTTCTATATACAGTATCGCGCATGTGGATATAAAAATGTTTTATTGCGCACAGTATCAAACCTTTGAGTTTGTTAATCATAAATTCATTAAAATCTAATAAAATATGAAATATAAAATTCGAAATTCAAAATTCGGGCTTCCAGATGTACATTTTCGTTTGGAAAACTATGTTATTCAAAATATGATGTCTCCAGGTATCGTCGTTTTTTCACAATGCGAGAAACATATATACACACATGCAGATTCTTCATCATTTAATTCTTTTAAAAACGATAATATTTGGTGGCAATTAATTTGAAAAGTGATTCGCCATTTACAGTGGACGACGCGAAATTTCGTTTCGAGATTGATAGCCCCTTCAAGCTAGCGTCTATTTGTGCTAATAATTTTATTATTGGTGTATATTTCTCATTTTTGTATTTAAGATGACGTTCAAACTTTGAAGAGCTATGTACAACTATGTACAGAATAAAATATGCAACGCGGTGAAAATTAAGAGATAAATCAGCACACACTTTTAAACTATAATAGAAATCAATAATAATAATAGATAAAAAAATGAATAAAATGATTCATGATTAAATATACACTCATGTCCATAAATTAAGGATAATTCGGAGTCACGCGGAAATCGAATTCTAAAATAAATACATCACCTGTAAAACCACTACACAGATCTTCAAGAATCATATGCAAATTTCAGGAAGTAACCAGATGACACCGATGGTACGTCACAATGACGAGAGTGATATATAAGGAATACAGGCAAAGAAGTAAAATTGTTCGCAGGCGCTTTATAAGCATTTCAGTGCAATAACCGAACAGTTATGACACAAAGGACGCATTTGGAGGATTTTTTACGTGGTAAAATTATCGGCCGTCTGGAATGTGGGCGTACCCAACTTGAAGTATCAGACGAACTTGGAATTGCCCAGAGTGTCATCTCCAGGCTTTGGCAACGATTCCAAGATGATGGTAATGTGAGTAGACGTTACAGCACAGGTCGCCCCAGAGTTACAACGCCGAATGAGGACCGGTATTTGGCAGTCACTGCCAAAAGAAACAGGCGGAGCACAGCCTCAGAACTGTCTCGTCAGCTCTCTTCAGCCACTGGTACGACAATTTCAAGGTAGACCGTGTACAGACGCTTAGGGCAGATTGGTCTATATGCTCGTAGACCTGTCAGATGCGTTCCACTTACTGCAACTCACTGTCGCCTGCGGTTAGCCTGGGGTAGAGAGCATGCATTGTGGACACCGCAACAGTGGGCTTGTGTGATGTTTTCCGACGAGTCCAGGTTTAGCTTGCAGTCTGATTCTCGCCGGACTTTCATATGGAGAGCTCCAGGTACCTGTTACCACCAAGAAAACATCATTGAACGACACCGTTACGGTGGTGCAGGAGTGCTCGTTTGGGGTGGAATTATTCTGGGTTCCAGAACTGACCTGCATGTTCAAATTGGAACCATGACAAGCCAATCTATCGGGACGTCATTCTGGAACAACATGTGTTTCGGGCGTACAATTTGTGTTTATGGATGACAACGCCCGTCCTCACCGTGCAAACATCGTAAGTGAATGCCTTCAATCGAGGATATCACCCGTATGGACTGGCCAGCATTCTCACCGGACTTGAATCCAGTAGAGCACGTGTGGGACATGCTTGGCCGACGAGTTGCAGCCCGTCAACCTCCTCCTACATGTCTACCGGAACTTCGGAGAGCATTGCTTTTTGAGTGGTGTATGTAATATCCCCCAAGATCAGATCGATAATTTGATACTCAGCATGCCTAGGCGTTGTACGGACTGTATTGCATCGTCTGGGAGACATACAATGTATTAACAATCATACCAACCATGTAATATTGGTTTTTTTTAAAAATAGTTTTTTTTTTTTTTTTTTTTTTTTTTTGGTAATTTGCTCCAGGGAGAAAAAATCGCTAATTTTTTTAATAATATAAAAACATATAGCATCTTTTTTTGCTCTTTACCTTTTGTTTAATAAATAAGCTTTACAAATAAGTCAAATTTGTTTTGCTTCAAACTCTTCCTTTGCCTGATTTTGCATTATCCTTAATTTATGGACATGAGTGTAGATAAAACGTTTTAAAAAATAAGAAGAGATGATGATGAACGGTTGTTCGCAGAATGGATAAACATTTGAATTGGATAAGATACGAATGAGAATTGGAGAAGCTACGAATGAGATCCGAGCAATCCAGCACCCTGACCATTTAGCTATGTATGACAATATTCACAAGCAAAACTAATCGAACAAGTAGACACTGTAGAGGTAGTTATACAATTCTTAGTAACTTATATAATCTATAAGTTTGTTACTGTCTTCAAAAATTTAGTAGCAGTATTTCATAGAGTATTCTTTCACAGTCAAATGTTTTACTATGTTTTATTTAATAGTCTGCTTTATTATTTACTATTTTTAATAATGATTAATTATATTAAAAAGCAGAGGATTTGTTTCTGTGGCAACTGAAATTTATTTACTTTAATATTGCTCAAGGTGTTACACAATTTATTTAGTTTCCTTATTCAGGTGTTACATTCATATGCTTCGCCTATGAATATATCAGTGGCGTGCGGTCCATATGTGCGGGGCATGAACTGCACACCCTGGCAAAATTATGAGAGACAATAATTTTCTGCACCTATCTTTATACGGTATATAATAAATATTATTTATAATATATTCAAATATTATGTTGATTTGATTGCTTGTATTGCCACCAGTGCATGCGGTGCTAGGTGCTGTGCCACGTAGCGCGTTCAAAAAAAAAAAAAAAAAAAAAAAGGAACATAGGAATTTTTGATGTGTACGCACTGCGCACTAATAAAAAATCACGCTTTATATGTATGGGCTACTGGAGAAGCACAGCATACTATAGCACTGAGGCAAGTGCAGCTATTTTTCCTGCACTTGGCATTCAGAATCATCCGAAGGTACGGTTTATTAAGCGTTGTATTAGAGCGGGGACTGACGTGCTGAAGCGCTTTTGGTTTTTTAACTGATTAACTGGCCATACGATTTTGCAGACGGTTAATGTTTAAATTTATATATTGTAAGATTTTGTTTTTATGGAAATATAAAAATAGTATTTCATCAATATAAAGGGAAATGTTTTAGTGTGGTAAAGTAACTTCGGTGATGTATTATATTTATAGAAATAATTCGCCGAAAAACAATTTTGTTTTGTTAGACAAAGAAGAAACGAATTTTAACAGAACAGTACAACATTTACCATTCACTGTGTCTTACAGACAGTATATAAGTTATTATCTGTCTAATACCATATCCCTGGTTTTGTTTTTAATAATTGTGAAGATGTTTTTCGCAGAATATATGATTTCAGAATGTTAAAAACAAACAATTAATATATATAATTTAATCCACTAACCGAACAAGAAACAGTTCGTTCTATTGTGCCAGCGTGCAGTGAAATCCTCTGCACGTGGAATAAACGTTCGGTTTGTCGGCACCAATGAGCATCCTGATGACTCATCCTGATGTCATCAGGCTGATCATGAGGCACAGCAGCGGTGGGCGCCGTGTGATGCTACGTTTGCTGAAAATATAAGTTTTTGCTGGAAGCCCGAAGCTTTGCTTTTTAGTCGCCGATATGACATCATACAACACAAGACATGATTTTTGCTTCAGTGCTAGTAGAATTCTCGTAAGTTTAGCTGTTTTTATAGTTATACCTCGACTACTCGTAGGTAAATATTTTATTTATTGTATTCTTTAAATTTATATTCATAATAAATAATCCATTTCAGAATGGAGAACTCACTCAGATGTCTCAATAATTAAAGATTTTTTTCGGAAACTTCCATTTTCGAGACGAGACGTTACTACAAAAAACGAAATAGTTAAATTAAGTAGACCGAAGCCGGATATTATTCTATCGCAAAACGTTAAGATTAAAGGACAACAGTGTGTACGACAATTTCAAAAATCTATGTAAGAAAAATTTAAATGGTTAACCGGTTATAGTAAATTGAATAAGTTGGACTGTTGGCTATGTTTACTTTTTGTTGCAATTGAAAAGCATAAGAATATTTGGGCAAAACAAGGCTACAGTGATTTAAATCATCTCCACGAAGCTGCAAGCTGAAACAAAGAAACATGAAAAAACACAATCTCACATAAATGCCGTAAAAACATTTGGTACCGCCAGGATAGATTTAATGTTAGATCAACAAAAGGCTTCATCGATTGTTCAACACAATGAAAAAGTAACAAGAAATAGAAATATTCTCAAGAGATTAATAGATGTAGTTTCTTACTTAGCAAAACAAGAAGATGCATTTCGTGGGCTCAATGAGAATATAAATTCCCTTAATCGAAGAAATTATATAGAATTAATAACTTTAATTAGTAAATATGATGACCTTTTAGCAACCCATCTAAGAACTGCAACTGTATTTTCTGGAACCTCTAATAGAATACAAAATGATATTATTGCATCGATAAAAAATATTGTAATTTTAAAAATTAGAAATGAGGTAAAAGAAACGCCATTCGTTGCTATTATGCTGGAGGAAACATCTGACATATCTCACAAATCGCAATTATCGGTTGTGCTATGATATGTTAATAATTGTAGTGCACCAGTGGAAAGAGTTTTGTTTTTTAAAGATGTTAGTGGTGATCGTTCAGCGGGAGCTTTGTGTAATGTTGTGCAAGAAACGATTTTGAGTTGGGGGTGTGAGAATAAACTGATTGCTCTAACGCACGATGGGGCGGCAGTCATGGCAGGAGCGTTGAATGGGACGCAGAAAAAAGTAAAAGACATTTTCCCAGAAGCTAATGTTTGTGCATTGTTGCGCACATGTACTTAATTTAGTTCTGTCGCAATCTGTATTGTTTATGAAAGATTGTAATTTTTTTTTTTTTTGCAACAATTTCTGGCATAGCCTCATTTGTTTTCGGTGTCTACAAAAAGAAATCATGTTTTAAAGGAAATTATTAAGAGAAAATGTCCAAAATTAGCTACAACACGTTGGAACTATTCATCTCGTTTGGTAAATACCATAAAATGCGAAAGGCATGGCCTATCTGATTTATTTGAAAATATTGTTGAGAATCCAGAAGGCTGAAATAACGATACAATTAATATTGCAAAGAGTTATCACATTTTTTTTGAAGAATTTAACGGTAATTTTTCTCTTAAATATTTTTGCCAAAGTGTTTTGTTATACTGATGTTCTATTTGATATTTTACAAAAAACTAACTTAAATATAGCATTATTCTAGTCAAAAAGTAGAGGAAGTAAAAGATGCAATTCAAAATATGCGAACTTCTGTTGCATTTGATGAAGTTTATGAAGAGACTATTTCTGTAGTGGGTCTCCAAAATTTAAAAAGAAAAACGTCGTGGGTTACAAAACTCAAGTGTAGACCAGGACCAACATTTTAAAATTTTATATTGTGAAATAATGGACACTATTTATTGTCAGTTAGATGTCCGTTTTAAAAAATTAAATTCGCTCAGATTTTTTGAACTATTGAATTTCAGTTTTTTTAAGAAATATCAAAGTAAATTTCCGGATGAATGCCTTAATTCGTTAAAGAACGCTTATGCAAAACATTTCGATTTTGTAAAGCTAACCAATGAATTATGCGTATTTTATCGTAGTGAGTCATACCACAAAATGAATTTATCGAAACTTATTCAGCATATAATGCTGAACGATTTGACAGATGGCCTAAGCGAAGTAAATAAATTGGCATATTTAATTTGTACAATTCCATTTTCAACTGCTTCGGAGGAGAGATCATTTTCAGCATTGAAAAGAGTAAAAAATTATGCACGCAATACAATGAGTCAGGATAGATTAAGCAATTTATCTCTAATGACAATAAAAAAAGAAATGTTACACTTATTACAGTCAAAACCAGAGTTTTATGTTAAATTTTGTGTACAAATGAATAATAAAAAGATAAAGAAGTGTTTAATGTACATTTCTATGGTTTTATTATTATTATTGTTGTTGTTCTCTGCATACCCTGCATGAAAACCTACCGCACGCCACTGGAATATATTGTACGGATGATTGCTTTGCAAATACGCAGTTTCTTTCTTTAAAGAGAATTTGAAATTTATACCAGTATCTGATTTGAGAAAACTGAGAATGTTTAAACAGTGCTCATGACTTTATTGATATGGTCAACTACCATCGCTTTAAAATAAAATCTCATCGCTATGTGGTTCCGACGCCATATTGAAAAAGTGTACACCAGAAGTCCTTTCAAATTATGACATGTGATATTAATGCAGTCAGCTATTGATTATTTATTCACGTCGCGTACGTAAACAAGTCAATAACAGTCAAATTCAAATTTAAATATAAGCCTAGTAGTCAAAAATACCCAATTAAATTTTAAATTTTAAGTTGGCTCAAAACTTCTCACCTTCATAAAATTTAAATGTCGGCAGCAATAACGCAAAGCCGAAGAATTACATTCTCATCAAAGTTGACGAAGCATAGTAACGTAGCCTCGAGAAGCAGAAACACGCTGTGTCTACAATCCAAACCCTCGGTTTAAACACTCTCTAACTCATTTACATTTCTGGTGAGGAAACGGAAAAGTTATAAAGGGTGAAATCGTAAATAACTGGTTAGTTTCAAATAATAACTGTACAATTAACTTGCTATTAATAATATATTAATATTCTATGCCAACCCATTAAAATTTGGCTTATCGGGATACTCAGCATACCAGTACCATGTTGTTTTCACATTTGTGGAGTTAATATTGTTCTGTACTTGCCTTGTATTATTGTAATTGTGAAGAAACCGGCTCACAGAGGTATGTTGACCCAAAAAATGCTTTCACTTTTAGTGAGGTAGTTATAGTAAAGGTCTAAATCAGAATAACTGATTAATTAAAACAGTGGTAACCTTACAAACATATTCTAATAACATAATTAATTTAATAACATAACATATTAAAACATATTTTAATAACCTAATTAATAACACAATTTATTTAACGCAAGATAGCATACCGTAACATTTTATGACATAACACAGTCTAACATATTAAAACATAAGAAAACAGATTAAATCAGAATTTAATAACACAATAATGTAATTAACTTAGTAGCAAAATATTAAAACATATTTTAATACCCTAATTAATAACATTATATTTTATTATATAACAAAACATATTTTAGTAACATGACGTAACATATTGAAACATAACAAATATATTTTAACGTAACAAAACAAAATATCCATTTTAATGAATGTCGTATCCTTTAATAAAGTTAAATAAGAGATTTATTTCCAAAATATCGGAAATAAAATGAAATAAAATCTATTCTGATGCTGGTTGCACCTGACCATTATATTATTTATTGCAGAACTCTGAAGCTGTGCGAGAAGCCGCCATTTTGACAGCAGTTTCTAACTGTTGACTGAGTCCTAGCTAGAGAAAAACAAAGGAATGGAAGGTTTATATCTAGGTACGTTTTTAAATTTATATTGTGCTTTTTATCTTTTTTCAGGAAAATTGGCGAAATTACGTTAAATGAATTTAAATACAAACTTTGTTTGCCTTTTATCTTAAATTATATAGCGTGTCCACGAAAGTCCTTACCTGGTCTTTATTCCCTTAATCGTTGGTCGTAAACATGTAGACATTCAATTCAAAAATGTTTGAAAGGACACGTTTAGATTCTCGTTTTGGCAGAGTTCAATTAAAAAAGTTAATTTTGCATCAGATGTAATTGATTAATATTTCACTGTTAGTATTAGAAACGTAATTAAATAACATTTCAGTATACAGTAATATTATGTCGAAATTAATTTATTAATATTTCAGTGTATAATAACATATGGAGACAGTGTTGAGTAACTGAAGTATGGAAGTGTAAATATTAGAAACGCAATTAAATAACATTTCGCTAATATTATGTACCTTTTCCTTGTCAATAAAATAATAATAACAATAACAATAAAATAGCAGAAAAATGTTACAAAAGCCCCATCTTATTACAAAGAATCAACAAAAACTATTCAGGAATATATATTCAGAGTAACACTGATTTCTGTTCATGAAAATGTCTGTACAATATCATTTTGGATTGACAGTGAAGCTGAAAGACCTGTCCACATATTTTATTTATTTTATGAAGTTTCATAGTCCATATAACATTAAGGCGCTGCAAAAGAAATTTCACTTGTGATTCTGAATCTCAACTTTTATTCTCTGAGAAATTTTTCAGATTTTTTCAGATCTCGATGCGACCAAACCATCATCTGCATGCAATTAAAGCTTTATATTCAAAATTATTACACGTACAAATGTAAGTGATATTTAAAAATAACCGCAAACTCACCAAGTTCGGATTCACCAGGATTGTGACTGGTGCAAATTACTGGATATGTTGCAGCTATGGTTGCATCCACAGCTGGCTGCTTGATTACAGGGATTTTGTCTTCCAACAGGATGAGGAACCTCAATGGAACGTTTAATGTTCGTCGATACCTGGATGATGAGCTTCCGCATCGCTAGATTGAGCGTCTTAAAGAGAATGATCTTGCTTTTTTTTCCTTAATCCCCCAGGTTACCTGATTTAATGCCTTGCGACTTCTTCTTTTGAGAGCATGTTAAGGACCCCATTACCAAAATTATTAGAAGACCTCAGGGAACGGATCAATTCTGCAGTGATGGCCATTGACAGGACGACACTACAAAATGTGTGAAACATGCAGAACATTTGTAGAGTGCGCAGAAAATTTGATGAGCTTCAGATTATTTCTGTAATAAATCACTCATGTTTGTACGTATAATACTTTTGAATATATAGTGTTTTGAAAATGAATGGAGCTTTTATAGTAGCCCTGTATATAAGCATGGATCACCGTCACTTGTTTTAAGCCAAGGTATGCACAAAGTCTCAAAAATATTTGTTGCAACAACGCAGTGCTTATTTTCTTCCATCTAAACTGCATTTCAGGCCACATATTCTGTCAGAACCTTCGTCTGATTGTTGCATGTATATGGATGTTTCAAGTGTTCCATACAAGAATGCTGAATAGACATCAAACTGATTAAGATGCAATTTCCTGTTGGCTGCAATATTGAGAATTGAAGGAACAGTCCCTAACTTTATTACTAGACTAAACGTTTAATCGTAATCAACTCTGAAACGTTCAATAGACCCTTTAGCAACAAATACAGCCTTAAATTTATCAATATATCCATCAGGATCAGATCTTATAAACTCATCTGCATGGTATAGCTTTCGCATGTTTTGGTAATTTTCCTAAAAATCTTGTTTCGTTTACCATCAGTGATGTCGTCTCTGAATCCATCCCTTCTTTCCGATGAACACTCTATTTACAGTTAACAGTTTCTTCATAAATACCAGAAGTCTCTTCAGAATCAGCAATAAAAGCTTCACTTACCATTGTATAACCTTGAAAATACTTTGCCTTTCTCGATTCAGCTCTGTTCCTTAGCTTGGCTGTGCCTTATTTTGAAAATTAATATCTTCGCCTTCTTGTTTCTTCAAAATATTCTGATATATTTCCAGATATTTCTTTATTGTGCTCTTTTTCTGAATGTTCCCTCTTGTGAGCCTATGTAAGAACGTAATTTGTAAGGTAATTTATGTTAATTAACACATGATTTGGAACTGCAACGTTACTTCTTCTTTTCGTTAGATCTCACCAAACGTGAAAATCTCTTATACCGTTTAAGTGTACAGTTGTACGTAAGGGCAGTTTATTAAGTGATATTTCGGTGTACACATACAGATGTAATTTGGTAATATTTTCGTGTACATAGGAATATAATTAAGTAATATTCTTCTGTATAGTTGTACGTAGGGGCGTACTTAAATTACATTTCGTTGCATAATAACATTATGTATCTTTTAAATTTCCACATGACGTATAAATTTAAAAGACATATACCTTTATAATATGCATATTAATTAATGGGGAAGACAGATGGCGCTTTATTATTTTGAAATTCTGTTGTCGATAATGAAGAATTTTACTAACGGCATATGTCAGTGATCTCAGTCTCGCGGCATTCGAAGCAGTTTTATGCGGCCCGTGGATGCATTTCAGTTACGTATTTGTTGCAAATACGTTATTGAGAAGATTTTGGTAATTTAATTTCTTCAGTTCCAAGCTAACATTGTTTTCATTTCCATTAAAAATAAATTTGTACAACGCGCCAGAAAATATATGAATGTAGTTAATTAATTTACAATGTGGTATAAATCTTATTCTGAGATTTCATAGTATAGAGTTCATTAACTTTTATATGTACTTGTCAAAAAATAAATAAGCTGAGTTAACTTTTGCGCTAAGAATAAGTGATAAGTGACGGAGGACGCGAGCACCACCCCTCTACCATAGAGGTTAATTGGTATAGCGCCACGTCCCCATTGTCTAGAGCACCCCAAGATGGTATGGGGAAGGGTGAGGGGCCACATGAACCCCTGACACCAGTTACCGATTTAAAATACACTGCCATACAAGGGCCTTGGCAGATAGTACATTGCCATACAATAATATTTTGGTTCATACAGCATGTTACAGTTGAGGTACATATTACGTATGATGGCGTATTACAAATAAGGTACATAGTACATAATCTTACATATACAAAGACAAATACATTTAAAATATGCATATTACATTACATTAATTTGATTATGTGCATGGGAATATTTTAGATATAGGAAATTATATTAAGATTTACACGTGATCCAAGGGCAATATCGTGTTGCAATGGTTAGTGCTAAGAATAATCGTTTTGTTTAGGAATACATTTATGTGCAAACAGCTCTTTTCACAATTCGAAATTGATAAGAAAGCACACTATTGACCGACTGGCATCTACAGTCTGTAATGAAGATCATTTCCAGTAAATTCTCTCCAAAGCTACAAATTTTATCAAATTCTGATATCATCAAGTGTCAAGTTGTGTTAAATAGGGTATATAATTATTTGCATAAAGCATATACATTTTTATTTATGTTCCGAAGAAAAATTTAATAAATAAGAGAAAGGAATTAAGTTGCGATTATTCATTCTCAAGGTTTGTCTCAATTAGGGCCCACCAGCGGCCGAGCGGTAACGTCGCTGAACACTGGTAGTTCGAATCCCGCGAACGGGCTGGCTGCATGGGTGTTTTCGTGGTTTTCCCCATGTGTAACGTGTATACGAGCCAGTTTCCCTTAAAAAGTCCTCCACGAAGGCGTCCCTCCCTTAAGGAAGATAGCCCTCGAGTGCTTTGCCGTAATCTAATACACCACCACCACCACTTGTCTCAATTAGAATTTTTTTTTTTTTTTGAAAACATGGAAAGTTTTCATAATTTATTTATTTTTATATGAATTGAAGTCAGTTATTTAATTATTATACAACAGGCTAGAACTATTTTAAATATATGTCATTCTGAAGATTTGATGTTTAGCTATCAATATATTAGAATAACAACTGTAGCCAACAAAAATATCTTGCGGATACCAAACTTTAGATTTCAGAGAGAAAATAAATGTAAATTCGAATTTTTTTCTTTACATTATTATTTATTGTTTATGTACGTTTTGATAAATATTTAAAGAAATTTAAAATTTATTTAGAATATTTTTAGTCCAAAGGGGCTTTGTCCCCGAAGGACTATTGTTTTCGTTTTACGATTTTGCGTTGAATCACTATAGATATCCGTTTCACTTTTCAAACTATTGCCACCAAATGTTAGAGTCCTGCATTATATTTGAAGAAATTAAATAATGAAAAATTTGCATAAATGTATGTATATTTCTCGCACAGTGATAAAACAACGGTACATAGAGCCATCGTATTTTGAATGAAGTAATCTTCCACCGAATATGGGCATCTGGAAGCCCTAATTTAGAATTTGTTTTATTATCGATTTCATATTTTGTAAAACTAAACGAATTTTTGATTAACAAACTGAAGGATTTCAAACACTCTACGGGGAAAAAGAAAACTTTTTTATCTCCAGCACGCGGAACTGTGTATCGGAAATTCTAAAGATATGCTTATTTTAAAATTATTTTGCGACATTGCTGTTGAACTGAATTTTATGGTTTAAGTGCAAAGAACATGATATTTAATAAATAAAGGTTTAAAATCTAAAACCTTTCAGATTTTTTTTGTTGTTATTTATTTATTTTTAGAATATTATTTAGAATACTTTTTATTTTGTTAATAAAAATCTTTCATTTGGTTAAAAAAAAATCTGGTGCGTCAATTGTTTTTAGACCATACATTTCGCCCGCTAGCAATCTGATGAGACCACTCACTTCTGTTACAGATAATCATTTCTTAAAAATATTTGCTGTTAATACTTTGAAATTAAAAAAAAATGAAAATATTAATTCTTCCTTGAAGGGTTTTTATGTTTCAGATAAAATTTAGATTACAATTTTTTTTCTATAGCTTGTGCTTTTTGACTAATTATGTCAACGAGCAATTTTTTATTACATTATTTTTTGTTCTTAATTTTTTTAAAGCACTAGAGGTGCTATTAGTATGGATCTCCACTTTTTTCAGTACCATTTTACAAATAAAAGGATGATGCCCTCCATTGTTATTGCCATAGGTTAGTTTTAAAGAAATAATATAGCGAGTTCTAAAGACATGTAAGCAACATTTAACAATATGTTGTAAATTCTAAAGGTATGCTGTTTTGAAATATTTTATGATTTTGTTGTTGAATGTTATGTGGCGTACGTGCGAAGAAAGTGATAAATAAATAAAATTAGAAACACAGAAGTTTAATAATAAAGAGATTAAAAGTTATGTAAGTCAACTTATTAAGAAAATCGAACATTGATATTATACTCGAATGGCGAAAATCAAACATTGATATTATTCCCGAATGGCCTGGAAAGAAATCTGTCGCATTATTCCGTCCTACACCTGGTCTTGGTTGCCGTCGTAAGCACCTTCAACGCATCAGTGCTGCTCCTCATGCAATCTCTTTGCTCCTCATGCAATCTTAAAGCAGACATGGACATGCAACATCTCGGCAAAAGCTCTGCTCTTCCTCGCGTTTCGATTTGGGAGCGCTACTGTGCGGCGAGGAACGCCCCCTTACTGATGTCAGATTTCTTGTCTTCGTCTTATATTTTTTTTAAATGTTTAGTTTCCTTGCAACGGGCCATTAGGAATAAATTATAAAAAGAGAGAGAGAGATGATGATGATGAACTATCTAAAGAAGAAAAGAAAAATAATGCTCTGAAATCTTAAAAATATGCTTTTTTTTTTTTTTTTTTTTTTTTAATTTTGTGGTTTTATTGCTGAATGTTATTTTACGTAAGTGCGAGGAAAGCAGTGTTTAGTAATAAAGTTAAAAGAACAACAACCACACAAAAAATGTATAGGTCATCTTGTAAAGAAAACTTACCATTGATAGGATGAACTGAGAAAAGACTGACAAAAGTAATAAAAAAGTGTATGGCAAGACTTGAAGTAAAAGGAAATTTAAAAAAAGTTGTTTTAGCGGGCGGAGAGTTCGAGTACAGATTAGTAAATTGCGAACTCGGCAAAAGCGCAATAAAACGCAGCACACCCTCTAATCGGATATTAAAATTTGAGTTCTTTCATACTTTCTTTCTCCCATCTTTTTTAAAATTTATTTGTGATTTATTTGCTTTTCACATGAGATAAAACTTCAGTTTCTTCTTCCAGGAATACTTCTAGTAGCGACTTTGGTTTCCGGATACAATAACGGATACAGAGTGAGTAGAAGTTTTTTTTCTCACTTTTTCGCCAGAACTGATAAAAAACGTAATGAAATATAGAAAGACCAGCTTAATATATTCCCATTTGTCCACGGTTATTTCTATAATATTAAACGATGAGAAAAAAATATTGCCCTCAAAATAGCAATAGAATTTAACCAATTCAATATATAAATACAACAACAAAAATAGAAATATTTATTGTCACTGTATTTTAATTAGGAAAAGGCAAAATTTGTTTATGAACACTTCATAATGTCTTTATGTAAAAGTTCATTTCATAACGTTTCTGGAAATTATTGCATAAATAATAACAATAATAGTTTATGCAATAACATTTAACAGTAACAATTTATGTAATAATAATAATAATAAACGCTAATTACGAATGCTATATTATTATTAATAATTACTAGAATAACTAATAATGATGATATAATAATTAACACTGATAATAACAAAAATAATTGTAATGAATTATAATAGGTTATAGGTTAAGTTTTAATCTAAATTATTAAGTAAATATAGCTAATAATAATTATAAATGATATTAACATTGACTCATAACTACTTTAAATTATTAAAGGGTTAAGCATACAGTAGTCATAATATGCATATTATTTATACATACAGTCAAAGGGTGCGTCCGAAGGAACAATGTATGGAAATTTTAATATTATTAAAAGGTAAGTAAACTAACTAGTTATACATTGTATTATCACTAATTAGTTATACAATATATTAATAGTTTATGCAATTCATATAACTACACTAATAATAATAAGCTCAACATTTATAATGTTAGTTAAGCATTTATACTATTAGATAAACTATTAGATAGGTTTATGTTTTATTTATACATTATATTTACAGTTTATACACTTCTTCTAACTACACTAGTTAAAATAAATTAAATACTTATATTATTCAGTAGGCATCGCTTAAAATAAATGATCCCTTGTCAACGGCTATTAGGATAACATTAATTTAAAATGAAATGCGTAGAAGAATTTATCAATCGTATGAATGGAAGTTTCTTTAATAAGGCTACGAACTGCTGACACTTACGAGAATTCAATGCCTTCGAATATGTTCTACTACCTGAGGATGCTAATATCAGACTTTACGCGACCCACCTCACTCGTGACTCGAATTTCCTAATTTAATTGCACCTTTATGTATTTTTTATATGTGTACATAGTTATGTATATAGTTTGTATTTCACATTTATTATTTTATTCTCATTTTACCATACTGACTTATTTTAGCATATAAAACTTTGTATTTTGTGCATTTTCTTATGTAGTATGTTATGTTAACACCAGTCAGATACCGACACTCTTGCGAAGCTTATCCTGGTCTTCGTTCTTGTTTGGTTTTCTAAAACCTTGTGGCGTATAGTCATCCCCTTCTCTTCACCTCAGACATCCTCTTACTCTGTCCGACTGTTACATCATGCGCCTCTTGGGCAGACTTGTCATTGAGACGGCAACATCGCACATATTAGCGATAGCCCGGCAATACATGTATTAATTGATTAATTGATTGATAACATTAAATAATGAGAAAAATTGCCCTTCGAAACAGCGATGGAATTTAAGTAATTTAATATAATACAAGAAAAGTATAAATAATCAGTCTCATAGAATCATAATTAGCAAACTGCAAAAATTCATTTATGAACTGTTCACAAATGCAAATGTCTTAATGTCTTTAATGCTTTAATGCAAATGTTCATAACATTTCTGGAAATGTTTCCCCCGAAATGAATTGCCTTTTTCTTAACACTCGGAGGACAGCCTTAGTTTAGCAGAGATGTTTCCAGGAAATTTTGTTTTCCTGAAAAAAAAAAAAAAAAAAAAAAAAAAAAAAAAAATTGCAGAAATTTTCTTGCTCCCGGAGAAAAGAGACCTGTGCCTGATGCTCTCATAATCGATAGAATTATTGAAAATCTATGTCAGATTAAGGTTTATATTTTACCTGATTTTAAATGGTTAGCTAAATCTGAGACCAAGCTGCTTGGCGACTTAATCCCTTGTTTAGAAACATTTCTATATAACTTGGTAAATTTTATAAACTAGACTTTATTTGGCGACTTTGTTTCAGTTTTAAAAAATATATTTTTTAATACTTTAATCACATTAAACAGAACTGTTGATCCCAATAAGTTTCCACGTTTCTCGTATACAAACGGGTGGGACTTCGGCAAATCATAACTATATATGTGGATATGCTTAGGGGGAGGAATGTTTTCATGGAGTACTTCCTGAGGGAAATTGTTTCACATCCTCGTTACCCATGGGGAAAACCACGGAAATCAATCATGCAGCCAATCTGTTCTCCTGCAATCGAACTTCCCGTATTCAACGATCTTAATCAATTGGTCACTTGTGAGGGTAAAGAACGCCAAAGTCGAGCTGATTATTGGTAGATTAGCTACGCGAAAGTCAACTGTTTAAACGTACACTAGCAGTGCCAAAGTTGAACTGCTTAAACATTATTCCTTGCCTTTATATTGTTACTCTTAATGCTCTTTTTTTTTACTCCTTTAGGTCAAGAGGTATTCGAGCAATGGGCAAAGAGGTGGTAAAGAATGGAACTGGGGCAGGAATGGGCAGCTGTTCGCCGGGCAGACGCGTTCCCAGATCTCCTGGTCCTCGGCCAAGGGAGACACCACACCTTCCAAAGGAAGGGCCAATTCCAAAACGAACAGAGGTAAGACCTTCGAAGTCGGGATGGGAACAAAAGTACGCGTTTCTGAAAATGCAATTTTACAAAAATTTTAAAACTTTACATTTTATATTCGCGAATTTCCTTTTCGTAAAGGGACCAACCAGTATTTACGAAACTCAACGCCAGGACAAATTTTGAGACACTCTTCTTTCTGATACTTTTCATTGCATTAGAAACGAATTATAAAATGTAGACACTTTTTGTTGACATAACTTAATAGCTTAATACAGTCAATGGCGTAGGTAGAGATATTGCCGCCCGCGGCGGTCTCTAAATTTGCCGCCACACTTGATATACTTTAAAATTCAACTTATAACTTTTTTATGTAAATAACTTTACAAAGTATTAAAATGACATGTAGTTATTTTTAAAGAAAGACTTTTAATTCCAACAATTTAAAATTATATTATTGTTTTCCTTGTTTTTCCCTCTCTTTTTGTTTCGTTCGTAAAATCGATGATAATTTAGAGGTCCACTTGGTTTCTCGAGTTTTTTACGTGCAGATAATAGACTGCAGTTCTTAAAAGATTTTTTCTTAGAAACTCTTCTCACAGCTAGTAACACTTACAGCTACTGAGAGGAAAGTTCGCACTACTATTATAATATTTGGAACTTCGTTCTGAAGTTCTGTTTGGTTTTCTCTAGCAACAACGGAAGTAAACCCTGAAATACTTCTCTGTTGTTGAGGCGTTTTTCCTTATTAACGTCGCTATGATCGTAATTTAGTTAATAACATTCGTAATTTAAGTCAAAAGTTTTTTGATGGAATAAAAAAGATATATATCAAGTTGAAATCACGTGGCGATTTCTTTGAATGTTTCATCTATAGAAAAAACTTTTTCGTTTTCAGTTTATTTTCATGTGGCAATGTAGAACCTTATTATTCTTCACCTGCCTCCGGCTTACCAGCGGCCGAACGGTAAAGTCGGTGAACACCGGTAGTTCGGCTCGTGGTTCAAATCCTGGCGGGCTGGCTGCATGGGAGTTATTGATCTGCTGCTGCTGGCTGCATGTCATTAGAAATAAATAAATAAAAAATGATATGATGAACTGTCGAAAGACTGAAAAAAAAATAAAGCAACACTATATCCCGAATCCTGAAAGTATGCCCTTTTCAAATTTCTGTGATTTTGCTGAAATTTATGTCATGTAAGTGCAAGGAAAACAGTGTTTAGTAATAAATTTAAAAGAGCAAAAAAACAATTGTGTAAGTAATCTTGTTAAGAAAATTGACCATTGATAGGATGAACTGACTGAGAAAAGACTGAAGAAAAATTAGAAAACTGTATGACAAGATTTAAAGCTAAAAAGGCAAAAAAAGGTGTTTTAACATGACAGACTGGTAAACTATCAACTCGGCGAGTACGTAAACTAAGTAACTCGGCGAGTGTTTCATGTCTAATTCCAACAGAGTAATGATTTATACGGGAAATGCCGCCCTAAAACTGTGCCGCCTGAGGCGGTATGCCACTTTATCCCCTCTAGCTACTCCACTACTACGGTTATATCCCTCTATAAGAGAAATCCGATTAAAACGCAAAAACCTTTTTGTCCTATCTAATTTCCTCCTGTAGACTTGGATGTTATTCGAAACGTTCTGCGGTGTTTTTATGCTAAATACAACTGAAGCAGTAGAAAAACGTAAGAAAATTTCATTGAAATCACATATAAGCACCAATTTATACTATAATTTTTTGCCATATCTTAGGCAGCTGGAAAACTCCTTTTGAAAAAAGTCATTAGGTTTATTTATAAAGAAATTATTGACTTGTTGTTTGACAGTCTCCATCAAGTTCCATCAAATCCATCAAGCTGCCAACTGACACGGAGAAAAACTGTGTTATTAATGACTACAATAGCATACGTTTGTATTTCAAAAGGAAATAGAATTCCAGTTCGAGTATTATTGATAACAGCAGCATATCCATGGGTGCCAACTCTCATTTTCAAATGTTGCTAGATAATCTGCAAAAGTAGCTGAAATGTAGCAAAATTAAGATGGAATTTCGCTAAAAGTAGTAGCTAAAATTAAAAAAAAAAAAAGTATAATGCATATTCCATAATAGATTTTGTTATCCGTCATTTTTTAAACTGAATCTTCATAAAAACATAAACAATGTCCCAATTTTTCTGCGGACCATCAAAACGTTTTCACGGACCACCGGTTGCCAACCGCTGATATAAATTACGAACAAAGAAATGGGCTCTTTAAATTGCAAAAGTTTATTTTTTAATATAATTTTGGTTCTATGGCAAATTTTTGCGTGGGGTTTGTTTTGAAATGTTTCTAAAAAGTCAAATTTTAGTATTAAGGCATTAAAGAATTCGAATTTTAAAAATGTATTTAAATACACCTGACACTTTAAAGAAAGAGTAAGGAATGCAAGCGTGAAATTAATTTTTTGTTCTTCAGACGGAACTTGGACTACAGACGTCCGACCCCCCTCTTCAAACGAGAAGGGGTGGAGCTCCAACCAACCTCCTCAAGGGAATCAGAAAGGGAGCGCTTACCCAGGAGAAGAAGATGCCGAAGGAAATCTGGAAGTTCTTCTTAGAGGAGTCCCTGGAATGGATTTTCCAAACTTTCTTGTTGTCCCAGAAACTTCTTTTGACTGCAGTGGAATGGCAACACGAGGATACTACGGCGATGTCGAAGCCGGCTGCCAAGTAAGAATAAGTTCATAGCATCGCACCGCTAGCATTCGCACTATTAGCAATCGTAATTACCTAGAAATGCAAATATAGCTGTACATTTGTCTGCGCAGTTGTAGCAAGGACTACAGAATAAGTAGTAGTAAGGGCTATGCAATGATATACTAAAACAATACAATAATAGCATGTATAAAATGGAATACTAGGATAATTCATACCTCTCTAATGTAATAATGCAGTAATATGTATTATAAATGATAATAAAGGTTCTATAAAATTAACTGTAGTAAAGGCTATGCAATAATATGTTACAGGGATATAATAACACTCTTATAATAAATAATAATGTATGTTATTTATTATTATAATAAATAATGTAATACATATTATTTATTATTTTTGTAATAGTGTGAAATATTACTATAATAATAAAATGTAAAAGTACACTAATATTTTTGTAATGTAATAATGCAACAATATCTATATAGTGTAATAATACAAAAATATACAGGGTGGCCAGAAAGTCCTTTTACACGAGCACTATAACTTTTAATAGCACTTTTTGCCCAAAACGTCGGTTATGTGCACCACTGTTATCCCTGAACAACTTGATACGCCTGAATGTCCTCATGTCTGCTTTAGTAGCTGCGGTGTCACATGCTGGAAGCCTTCAAGCGCACTTGCCCGCGTAGTATCATTGTTCACGTACCGCTTCTTCCTGAAGTATGATTCGATGGTCCCCACATAGCATTGGCTGGTGTCATAAGGTCCGGACTTCGAGGCGGCTAAGGGTAAGGGGTTGGTGAATTTGAGGGACCCGCATCCACCACGGACAAGGGACAGTTCATTTAGGTGTTCACGAACGGCAAGTGAGAAGTGGGCGGGAACTCCATCGTGTTGGTAAACAACCGTGTCATTGATGCCCAAATTCTGCAGCTATGGAAGAAGCTAGTCATTCAACATCTCCAGGTAAGTATAGTGGGTTATAGAACTGTCACTGAAGTACGGATCAAGGATGCGTTCTTCAGTCATCCCCACCAAAAGCTTTCTTCTCCCACGCGATCAAAGTCTGATGACTTTGTGGCTCCTTACCAAACCATTCACGGAACCTATCCGTCACCTCTGTTATATTTTTGTTGCTGTGTTTTAGTTCGTGTATACCTACACACTTGTCATTAAGCTCTCCTCCAAAGTGAAGTCGCTGGTATCTGCCATTTCTCTACGCACAGACTTTATTCTCCTCCCTGGGTAGTCACGCGGCAATTTTGTTGAAATTCACGTGAGAAGCACTGTTGCTATATCAATGATCAGGATGGGCGATTCCAATCTGAAATATCATACACATCTTGCATACTTTAATTCAGGTGTAAAGGGACCTTTTGGCTTTTGGCCACACTGTATACTAAAAATAGTAGTACAGGCTGTATAATAAATAGTTGTGGTAAGCACTATGTCATACTATATGACATTGATCTAAAAATACAATAATAATACTATTATAATAAATAATATAAAAAATTTTTATTTCTATTATCTGTAGTATGTAATAATACTGTTCTAATACAATAAATGGTGTAATAATATACTAATAATATGTAATATAATAATACAATAGTAAAAGGAATATATGAAAACAATCCATAATATGCACATAGGCATAAAAAAATTGATAGTTATTAATGTAGTAAGTATACACACAATAATATGTGTGCAATATAACAGTAAATAATTCATTATAATAATGTACAATATAATTAATGATGCTATTATAATAAATAATAAACTGTATATTTTATTATTATAATACAATGTAATAGTACTATTCTAATAATAAGAAAATGTATGTAAAATCATTTAATCATAAATCCTTAATTATTAAGATCCGGCACCATTATATCAGAGCACCTTTATGATGGTTTTTGTGTTCTGGAGCAATCGCCAAATTGCGTAAAGATTGTTGTCATTTTCATCTATAGAGCTGTGTGGCTAGATTCTAGAAATGTTTATATAGTTTCTAAACTATCCAAAAATAGAATCTGTATATAGAATTAACTAAGAAAATTCTATTGAAAATATCAGATCCAGAGTATAGAAAATTGTACCATAATTATAAATTACTCTACACAAGTTTCCTTTTTAAATTTTCTAGAGAAAATCCTATAGAAGCTTTAAAAGAATTAAAAAATCAATAATATTTTCTTTTGGAATTTAAGCAATAGTACTTTCTTTCCTGATGTAGAATTTATTCAGATATAGAATTTATTTATTACAGAATGCTAATATACAATTTATTTACTATTGAAATCTGATTTAGAATTTATTCAGAACTTCATTATAGAATTTATAGAGTTTGTCTTACTTTGGGAGTATAAACTAGTTTCAAACCCTTACAGACGTCAAGCGAATTATCACTGTATTTGAAATTAACAATAATAACAATTATCTCGAAAAGGTTCCCAAATAATATTTTGATATAGACACAGAGAATTCAGAGAATTACGTTTTAGAGTTTAGGATATTTTGCATACTCTAATGAGGACTTGTCTCATATCTACCTTCTCCTTGAACTATTTATTTTGCTGTGCGCTATTATTAGCTTCAATAATTTGTCAGTTTCTTCCTGTTCTTCTGGCGTGATTATTTAAAAGAGACAGCCACGACCCCGTTAGTACGTTAGTACCTGGCGTCAGTACTAACTCCGCGACCACGGCTATCGAAATTTGATTAAAATTAAGGAATTGTGCTTATAAAGAAAGAGAAACATTATAGAAGAGATGACTTAGTGGATGATTTACTAAGAGAAATTGTTCGACTCTCTGTGTTCAGCAGAGTTAAAATTCAGCTGTTGAAATACAAAAGGGATGTAAAATATTTAATCCACTTTTTAACCCTTATCACTTATATATTATTTATATAATGAATAATTAACTTAATTGCTGCTGTATAAGCTTTTAATATAATGTATATTAACAATTTCTATATTCAGAGAATGCTTTTGAAACAACAGTGTTCCGAGAGTTTAAAATTTAGACCGAAATTTAAATTTAACCTATTATATATATCATCTAATTATCTTAAATTTAACTTATTCTATCTAACCTATTATAACTTGTGTAATTATAATAAATAATTTAATGCATTAGAGTAACTTATTATTATTATTACTATGTAGATCTATTAGGTTTTTCTCGAAGCACAAGATGTGAAAAATAAGCAATGCCCTCGCCGGGACTCGAACCTAGACCTCTCGAATACGCGCCGAGTGTACTGTCACATTACGAACGCATGGTCGAAAGAGGGAGAAAATACCTTATACACTTCCCTTTTTCGAAGGGCTGGGAGAGGGGTCCTAATCGGAAAATCTTGGTGGTGAAGAATCATCATCCACCACCTTTTTAGTTCGGGACCACTGTAGAGACACTAGGTTTTTTTCGATGTCAGGAAACTGAAAAAATGGGCAATGCCCTCGCCGGGACGCATATTTCACAAGTGCACATTTGTGTAGCCATCGAGGGAGTGGCTTCTAGGATGGACCAATGGGAATCCAGTAATATTTCTGTCATGTCACATGACCTTTCGCGTGCTTTAAGATTCAAGCAAGATGGTTGAAAATATTTTATCACGCGATTTTCTGTACAAAAGCATCGTCGATTTCTTCTGAAAATTTTCATTGCGAAGTTAGATCAAATAAAGCAATTGTGAAGATTCACGACCGGTTGAAGGAATTTGAAATAAATACAAATACATTTGCATACTCCGCAAAAGTATCCCTGTGAATATTATTTAATAGTGGTAAATAAAATGAAGAAAGAAATATATGTAATAAACATCGAACCGAAATGCTATCATTACAAAAGTATGCATGTGAGAAAATATTTACACCATTATATAGTAAAAGAAATCAGCACTTTTTATTGCAGTCTATATGAAAAGAGTTCTATAATAATGCCAATGCAGAATTTTATTCAAAGTGAACTTACCTAATTTGCATTCGTATTATTTAGTGTATTAAATTTCACATTAATAACTGCTCACTCTTAAATGTACTGTTTACACAAGAAATACTCATCAAACCAGAATGAATATACCTTATTCACAACGAATATATTCAATTTATTCACATGTAACTTTTAATGTTAACAATGGATATAATCAGATCATACACAATATGTATTCTCAATCTTACACTTTAAAAATCCAAAATAATGCAAGCTTAGAAATAATAAAACACCAGCTAAAGTTCATTGTAACACTTTCAGTCCTTCTCAGCTCATTAAAAAAATAAGAAAACTATACACTTGAATTCTCTTAATCCACAGGTGTTAGTAAACGCATAATATTCGAGGCTAATTGCTGCTCGAGTTCATTTTCTCGATGTAAAGAGCGATAATAGGCCATGAACATCGAATTCAAATATTAATGCGTAATAAAAATCGCGTAAGTGAAGTGTCAGCAGATTAATTAAACTCATAAAACGAAAGCACTACGAGATTTTTTACTGTTACGCCATACATTTATAACTGCGAAACAAATGCAAATTAAAATATAAACTTACGCTCACATGCATGAAAATTTAGAGTCACAGGAGCAATAGAAACTCATTCGTCTATTTTCGAAACCCCATTCCTCAGTGGCTACGCTGATGTGCACTTGTGAAATATGCCGCCGGGACGTGAACCTGGACCTCTCGAATACGCGCGGAGTGTTCTAACCGCTTTAAACTACGAAGGCGTGCGGAAAGGAGGGAGTAAATACCTCATAACTATCATAGTGTTAGTGTAGCGCTAGTATATGCTAGTGCAACAACATAGCTACTATACACTAGTGTAACTATGTACGTAAATATTAGTGAATAATTAATATAAGTGTTTAACTTATTATAACTAGTGTAGTTTTTACTAGTGCAGAAAATATTAATATATTACATAATTAACCGGTATTAATATATTGTGTAAATATCTAGATTACTTAACTTTTAATAATATTAAATCTCTCTGTACATTGTTGCTTCTAACGCATCCTCTAACGGTATAGCTTGTAGAGTCATTAGGATATTTTTAGAGGCAGAAAAGATGAAAAATAGCAAACACCTTCGCCGGGAATCGAACCACGGACCTTTGGAATACCAGATCAGCGTGCAGAACCACTACACCAGATGGACGCTAGGAAAATGGGAGAAATACCTTATAAGCTAGTACAGTTAATAATTTAGACCAATTTAGTGCATAACTTATCATAACGTGTGTATAAACTGATGAGGTACTTTCTCCCCTCCTTTCTGCGTGCTTTGTGGTGTCAATGCAAGCATACGTGACGCATATTTGGAAGGTCAAGTGTTCGATTCCCGGCGAGGGCACTTCATATTTTTCGCATATCCTGCTTCAATAAATCTAACGGCTCTACAAACTGTTAATATATAATGTGTAAACAATATAAGCATTTAACTAACACTACAGTATAAATGTTTAACTTATTATAACTATTTATTATAACCATTCGCCATATAACTGAACTATTAATAAAATGTTTAATTAATAATAAATGCATAACTAGGGGTATAATGAAAGTGCTTAACCTATTGTTACTAGTGTAGTTTATTACAAGTGCATTAACTTATCACTAGCGTAGTTATTAATATTATATAAACTATGCAATGCAAAATCCCGGCGAGGGCACTTCATATTTTTCGCATATCCTTCTTCAATAAATCTAATGACTCTACAAACTGTTAATATATGATGTGTAAACAATATAAGCATTTAACTAACACTATAGTATAAATATTTAACTTATTATAACTATTTATTATAACCATTCGCCATATAACTGAACTATTAATAAAATGTTTAATTAATAATAAATGCATAACTAGGGGTATAATGCAAGTGCTTAACCTATTGTTACTAGTGTAGTTTATTACAAGTGCATTAACTTACCACTAGCGTAGTAATTAATAGTATATAAACTATACAATGCAAAATTAAAATATATGTTTAACTAAACGTATAATATGACTGTTTAACTTATTATAAGAAGAGTATAACCTATTAATATAATATGTAATCAATTAATATGAATGCCATTTCACAGTATTGAATTCTCGATGTATTGTTGTTTCAAATGCAACCTCTGAGTTTATGGAATACCATTCTATATCGTTGTTTTGAATCTCAAATACCATCAAATATCTATCTTACCACGCAGAACTACTTAACATTCTTTTCCAGGTTTTTCATATTTGTCAACCTGGCAATCGCAAAGACTCTTTCCTTTGCCCAGTGGGAACCATCTTCAATCAGAAATACTTCGTTTGTGACTGGTGGTTCAACGTCAACTGCTCGGACACGCCTTCTTATTACGATTTAAACGAGGAGGTGTATAAGCAGCAACAACCGGACGATATCCCGGTCACGACGGAACCAAGCCTGCCTTGGAACGAAGATCTCAGCAAGAAGAGACCGTCGAAGAGTTGGGGCTCCCCAGCTTCTCCAACAAAACCGGTACGTAGTTATCTGAAATTACTACCGCTGCGTTGTAATCTGCAGTTTCTAGCTGCATGTTCTAATCTGATATTACTACTGGTATGTTGTAATCTGAAAATACTAGCTGCACGTTCTAATCTGAAATTACTGCCGGTACGGTATATTCTGACATTACTACCGGTACGTTATAATCTGAAATTATTTCCGGTACTACTTTGTGTTCTGAAATCACTACCAGTACGTTTTAATCTCAAATTACTGCCGGTACATTGTAATCTGAAATTAATACGTGTATGTTCTATGTTCTAATCTGAAACTTCTACCGATATTATGTTCTATTCTGAAATTCCTACAGGTACGCTGTAATCTAAAATTACTACTGACCCTACGTTCTAATTTGAAATTACTACCAGTACATTCTAAAATGAAATTCACCAATACGTTTTAATCTGAAATTACTTCCTGTACATTGTAATCAGAAATTACTATCGCTTTGTTCTAACCTGAAATTAATACTGGTGCATTGCAATTTGAAATTTGTTTTTACATTTTTAGCATTGCCTTAACTAGCGCCTCAACATTCAGAGAAAATTCAATGCAAACGTTTCATTTAATGTCAGAAAAATTCTGAAACACGCCTGTAGTAACAGTTATAACACAGACAACAGCACCTTCGGTACAATTTTTACTGTCATTCTCATGCAATGGGTTGTAGAGTCATAAGGTTATTTGGACTCGGGAGACAAGAAAAATGAGTAATGCCCTCACCGGGAGTCGAACCTGGACTCTCGAATACGTGTCCATTGTGCTACCGTTAGAGCACGAAGACATACTAGAAGGAGTTCGAAAATATCTTATAATGTAAAGAGGTAGTAGAGAGGTAAAGAGGTAGAAGTTTTACCTAAGCAACACAGGAACGTTCGGAACACATCCAGAAAGGGTCTTATTTGTTATATTTGTCCTGTGCTTAAATGCAGAACGTTCTACACGACATGTTAAAATGATGCATGTCAGAATCGTGTTTTTAATATTCACATTTCGCCATAAAAGTCTGGTACTTTTCAAAATGTTCGCAGCATGTGTTATATATTCTACACAACGTACTAAAGTGCGTGTTACAACCGTGTTCGAACGTACATTTCGACGAACAATGCTGGTACTTTTGGAAATGTAATTGAGAATGTTCTGCTAGAAATTTAAAGAAGTATTCTGCCAAAACATTTAGAGATGTTATATAAAATTAGTGGTCCCAAGTTTTGACGTTCTCCTGTCCGTTATTGGCGTGATTGAGACATTTCTGTCAGTATATTAATGAAACGTTGTGGTAGAACTTTACAGGAACATCCACAGAACGTTCTAAGAATGTTATATAAAAGTGTCCAGTGCTACATTTTAACGTGCTACTGTTCTATATTGACGTGCAATATACAGAGTTTAGATCGCGAGAACATTCTAAACCGACTGAAAGTTCTTCCAGGAACGTTCAGAGAAAACATGGCAAGAACTTTACATTGAAGTATTACAAACACAAGTATTTGTGTCGTTGCCCATTTTAGAAGTGTAAGATATTATTACGATATTTGCATATATATAAATAATTTTAGTGAAATTATATGTAAAATCGTAGTATTTATTGGATATTTTAACATAAAATGCCTCGAGAACGTGAAGCTCAGTCGGAAAACCATTTAACATCGACCAACATCAGGCAATCTCTTCAATAGGGGTAATCCATTTAACATTGATGTAAAGGGCTATCTAGCATAATTGGCGAGATACCGCCAAACTGAAGATGAAATTTGGTGAGAAAATGCCAAAAGTCATTTGGGTCCGATCTTTGTATAATTGTAACTGCTCTAATTCCTGTGTAACTGTGTTCGTCCTTATATGTAACTGTAACTGTATATGCTTCCAGTAATTTCAAGAAATCAACAGTAATGAAAATTTCTAGTCAGCCCGGGGTAAACTACTATATAAGGCCGGAGAAAGCAGTTGCTCTCAGTTGTCGCTGTTAGCTATGAGTTCGAAGTACTGAGATATCTTCGCTCTCTAGATGCGCTTTGCATCGCATTGTGTTTAAGGTTCTTAGTAGTTTGAAGTAGTAACTACTGATTGTGCTCTGTCATACTGAGAAAAGCTGCACGAGTACTTTTGTGGAAAGTTTCAGAACTGTCAAGTGTTTCTTTTGGGAAAATAAACTTTATCAAGCTATCATCGGTTCTGTGTGCATTCAATCCAATAACGAACCCGAACGCACGTAACAATATAAGTAAGAGAACTTTTTGCTTGAATCATATTCGTAAAGAGCTTGCAATGAACTTTCTCTGAATGTTCTTAAGCTAGTTGAGTATATGTCACTCCACTGAACGGACAACAGTATGTCCAGTGTTGGTGTTAGAATGTTTTAAGAAAGCGTTCTAAATCGCATCTATGTGTTATGAATTGCAGTTGAGTGCTGTGCGTTGGAATGTACTTAATAGTAACATAGCTGCAACACGCACCAATGTTGTACTTTAGTGCATTGAGTAGAACAGACTAAAGTGGTAATATTTCGTAGCATAAGCTCGAAACGTTATAAAACTGTTGTTGTGGTACGCTGATTTTAGGTTAGGTTATTTGAATACGATAAAGCCAAGAGGGATATCTTGCTAAGAGAAAGAATGCCTTCACGGAGGGACTCACGGAGGCTCCTATTCGCCTTATAACATGAGGAAAAACTACGAAAACCACCTATGCAGCCGGCTCGTTTGCCTGCTTTCGAACCCAAGCCAAGTCGAAGTACCTGTATTAAACTATCTTAACTACTCAGTGACTGGTAGGGAGAGTTGTACGTCTTAAGAACATAGTTTCTGTACGATGCATATCGTATAGTACATGCTGGGAATGTGTTGAAATGTAATAGCGTTGTATATTAAAATGTACTTTTAAAGAACACAGTTTCAACATCCACCACTTTACCACGCCAAAGAGAACGTTCTTTATAGTACAGTCAAAAGTCGTTAATTCGGACACCCATAATCCGGAATGATCTATAATCCGGACCTCAAAGCTAAAGCGCATAGGCGCTTTACTCGTGCACGCAAGACATTTACGACTGCGCATATGCGTCTGCGCAAGTGCAGAATACGTTTTCGCGTGCGCGTTTAATATATAACGGACGGTATAAGCTAAAATTATCTAATTATCTATTTCAGTTAATGTTGATGATTGCGTTGTTCTTTAATCTTCGAATTGGATCCGGCTTATTATTTTTTGCAGACTGTAAGAGCAATTTTCTAAAAGTAAGCTTGAACTTTCGATTATGTCAAATAGAATTTCCGATGCTGGAGCTCCCAAAGGATCTAGAAAACGAAAGTATGTTTCGAGTCCATCAAACAAAAAACGAATTGCTACAAAAAATGGATAAAGGCATATTCTTTGTTTATCTAACCGTTCCGAAATCTGTTTATATCAATTTCACGCTGCTCTTTGCGGGGGGGGGACGTCGCGGCGGCGCGCAATGAACTGGAAGTTGATTTGTCAACACTATCGTTATCTTCAGGGCAGATGTTTTTATTTTATTCGGCTTATAATTCCTTACTAAATGTAGTATTTAATTTCGATGTACTCCGTCTTTGATATGATTTAAATCAAATTCCTCGTCATTATAAATATCACGAATACAAATCAAATAGTTTTCTGGTTGCAATTTTCTAATTTCGACTATGCGTAAGGTATGCTTTACGCATCCGCGCGTTGAAAGAAATGTTTAATAAAGTAAACAAATAAATATTAGGCTTCTTTTTTGGTAAATTTTGATACCCTTTAGATCATAATTGCTCATTATTTTATAAATTACGGTTTCATATTTTTAATTTTATAATTTCTGCATGCCATCTTACCAGATTTAAACTGATGATCTATAATGCGGAAAAATCGATAATCCGGAATCGCCGAAGTCCCGACGAGTCCGGATTAAAGACTTTTGACTGTATATGCTGATCATTACACTTTTAGTATCTTCCCAACCAGTACTAAAATGGCGAAGAACTTTCTGAATTACGTACATTGATTATACTTCTAAAAGAGACAACAGCTCGTTCCTACTGAACTAAATATTATTGGTATTTTCATGTAACGTAGACATGATATAGAATATTTTGGTAGCACTTTTGCAAAAGCGTTTTATATCATGTGTGTACAGAATAATAGGACGTCTAGTACTGCTGTTGATGGCGCTGTCTTTTAAAGTGTAAAGAACGTTTTACAATGAATGTTCAAAATTAAGTTACATTTTACAATTCTGAAACGCATAACAACACGTTCAATATCTGTGTTGGATTCTCATGTAACGTTTAAAGAATTAATAATATTAGCGTAAAAAGAGTAATTAGTCATGAAACACGATTTTGCGTTGATTCACTTTGATTATCGTTCGATGTCAATGCATTTTTTCACTTTTCATTCGAGTCTGTTGCCATTCGACTTTTAAATTGAATTTGTCGCTTAAGGATAAACAAATTGAACTATTGAAAAGTAATAGATGCAGTTCTTAAGACTATTATTTTTTTACTTTTGAACAGGATTGATGTCAAAAAAGGGAACTGAAATCATGAGATATCTAATTAAAAAGATTTCAATGTAATTTTAGGTTAATGTTCTATATTTTTTCATTGTTCAATTAGACTGAAGATACAGAACGTTCTCATTAGTCTAAATGCATATATTAAATTAATATCCTCTAAAATGTTTCGTTTTTTTACCTGGTCCATTTATATTGAGAATCTTAACTGATAAACCATATTCAACTTTAAAAGAGCCCTTTAGGTTGACCATCAAAATCTAATTAAATTCTGAAACCTTTGAGAATTTTCTATCTCTTTTTATTTTACATATTAGTTAACAGGCTCCTACAAATTGAAGTTAGTATTTTGTTTGCCTATTTTATTCTATTTTACTACCATAGTAAACTAAAGTTTTACTTACTAAGCATTTTATTTTACCCCTTTTATTTTACATATTTGTTAAGAGACTATTACAGCTAGTTTAGATTTTGTTTGTCTTGTTTCTGTCTTACATATTTCAGAATTTTATTTTATCTCTTTTTATCTTATATATTCATTAAAGGGGCTGTTGCAAATTAAGTATTTTATCCGTTTTTATCTTACATATAATTGTTAACGAATTATTATAAATTTAAGTTAGTATTCATTTTTATCTCTTTTTATCTTATACGTAGTTGTTAACGAACTGTAGCAAATTAAAGGAAAGAATTTTATTTTACCTCTTTTATCTTACATACTATTTAAGAAGCTACTATAAATGACGCACACTGTAGTACTTTATTTTACCCCTTTTTATACTGCAGATTTGTTAAGGGGAAACTACAAACTAGTTTATGTTTTATTTTACTTACTTTTATCGTGCATGTTTCAGAATTTTATTTTACTTCTTTTTAGCTTACATATTTGTAAAGCGACTGCTGCAAATTATGATATTTCAATGTATCTGTTTTTATCTTACATATCTGTTAACGAACTATTGCAAATTAAAGAAAAGATTTTTTCGTGCATCATGCAGGGAAGTCCGTAACCTATTTTATTTGCAGGATGCGATGGGAAAGACACACCTACAGAATAGAAACTTTTTTTAAAAAACTTAAAATTGCAATTAAAAATGACCATTTAAAAATTTAATTTTATCTCATTTCCAGTGCAAAAACTGCCTTTGGCAAATTATCCTTAGGCGATCAGGTACAAAGGAAATGCAGAACATAAACATACAAATACAGTTCCAAAGCAAACAAGCTAATTTCTGGGTCGTTTCCAGTTTCTTTCATAATTAATATTCTTTCATAGGGCTCACTAACAAACCATGAAAAATCGAACACCCGGGTTTATAACAAACTTCCACGTGTAAAAAACTGTGATGTGATCCCATCACAGTTTCCTACACACCTAATGTTATTTTATTCTGCTACAGTGAATCTCAAAACATATGGAATTCGGATACAACGAATCTATTTTATAGCCCACTTCTGCGGGTAACGGGACCCGAGGGTATAAAGAGTTATATCTCTAAAAAGTAGTTAAGATTTTCTCAAGTCAGATATTTAAACACAGATGTGGTTTCTTTGAACGAAGCGAATCATTCTGAGACTAAGTTGTATATTCTTTTATAGTTAATTACTGATGAGAAATAGCTTTCTCTTTACCAACTTTTTCTTCTTCATGTAGGCCACACCGAGGAAGGACTTCCCTACCAGAAAAATCCCCAAAGGCGCCAGCGAAATCGGAACGACGCGAGTCACCAACAACGGATGGAGCCATTCCGACTCCCAGAAAGAAGTGACGCTTTCTTGGAGTTCTTCTGGAAGTTATGGCAGCTCTTCCACTTTTATTCCAACAGTCAAACCCATATGGTACGGGATCGATGAACTACCAGCAAAAGACCAATCCAACGGGAAATATCAGGGCAGAAACGGTCAAGTACAGACCTCCGCTCCATTTGGCACACGCATGAGGGCCACACCTGTGACCATCGAAGAAACTTGGGCTCCCACAGAGTACCAGTCGCATGCCACGCCACCGAGTCCATCTTCTACATTAAAATCTACAGGCACAACAAACTACGAGTGGTCAAACGACTTGGTGGACACGGCCATCATTCCTACAGAGATTAAAGGCGTCTGGGAGCAGAGGTCTTCGAAGAAACTGGACGAGGACACACACTTTGCAGCAAGTGGACGCAAAGGGCATTTAAAAAAGCTTGATATATTTGACAATACTAGCCATCAATCGCTAGAAGACCAAACAGAGACTTGGGGACGACGAAAGGTTCTGAGAGATGCCTCTTCGAATCGCATTTCACGGTTTACAACAACACCGAGAAGGTGGACCACTAGAAATACGAAGAAGCAAAACATCGCTGACCACTCAAAGACCCCTAACATAGACGACAGGCCATTTGAGTAATTTCTATAGCAGTGCTTCTCGAGATTTCGATAGGAAACAAACTCTTGTCTCAACTCCCGTTCTATATGTCTTTAATCAATATAAACAATACATGTGAAACAATCATCCACTCAGGTCCCATTGCGATTTAAGGATTCGGGTATTTTTCTCTTCTACTGACCGTGAAGGAACTCAGTTTAATATCGGTTTCGTCTATCTAGAATTCCACATGACAGCTTAGTATTCCGGTATGGTGAAGGTAGCTGCAGTTAATAATTTAAAAATAATCCGAGAGTACGAAACTTTCGGTTATTCCTCCTATTTAATAGCCTAAAAATGAGTAAATATTTAAAAATTAAATTAATTATTTTTCAATGATTAAATTTCCGTTTAATAATTGAAAATAATTTGTCCTTTAATGACAAAAAGTAGATGCAGATTTTATAATATAAAAAATAACCAAAGTATTTATTGGAGTATGAACTGTTCTCGGAGAATCCTCTTAGTTAATACCTACAGGTAAACAATAATTTTAAAATAATTTGAGGTATCTTCAGATTAAATAACCTAAAAATAATCTGAAGTTTAATAGCCTAAAAATTATTCAAGATAGTTGCACATTTCCTAACAAAAATATAACCCGAATATTCATTGAAGTACGAACTATTCTCTGAGAATCCTCTTATTTAATAGCCTAAAAATAAATAAAAACTTAAAATGTAATTTCAAGTAGTTTCAGATTAAATAACCTAAAATTAATTTGTAATCTAATAACGTAAAAATAAATTGTGGTAGCTGCAGATTCAATAACATTAGAAATAATCTGAGTGTTCTTTGGGGGTCATAATATATCTCAGAGATTCTTTATTTAAATTATTCCTTTTTCACAGAAGGTATTAAAATTCTCAAAAATGTAAGAAAAATACATTCAATTTTCTTAATTTTTCTAACGTTCTTAATTCACCTTGAAAATGTTAAAAATAACGAATTTTATTTTCGTTGCTAGTGAAATACGACATAAGAGACGTTACAGTTGTTTTCCTAATTAAAATTGAATATGACTTCTGAGCAAACCAAGGAGACATAATTAGGCTTAGTTAGCTCTTCAGAAATTAATATATTGCTTTGTTTTTAGAAATTTTTAAAAACTTTATCAAGTAAACTCAACATTTTTTTAATTCAGAGAGTTTAATTTGCTATAAACATCATAACTGAAGTGATTTATTTTCAAAGAAAGTATATCGCATAAATTTTGATTAAAAAACGCTGTTCTTAGTACAGGAACCATTATCATATAACTGCATGGGTATCATTAATTGTATCATATTACGTGATATAGAAAATATGGGAAGGGTTCAGTGCCATACTATGATATATATGTATTTATTTTCATACTATTTATAGAAAAAATAAATAAATAAATATTTTCATTTGGTCATACAGCATTGAATTCATTTTTTGTCTGTTTTGATATTAGATTATGAAATTTCTTAACAGAACTTTACAGTCCAAAATATTTTCACCAAAGTTTTTTTTTTTTTTTTTTTTTTTTTTTTTTTTTTAAGATTTCCAATACTTCCCGATCCTTGCATTACACTGCCATGCCTTGTCAAATATCGCTGTTACGTGAAATAAACATCGTTAATTTATCTTGTTTGTAGAGCCAGTTTGAAGAATGTTGCCACTTCGCAAAGTATATGCTTTTGGATTTCTAATTCATTTTTTTATCAATCAGTAACAGCTTAACAAAGTGCGAGATTTCAAAGTACCAAAACGCATTTCTTAACACTTTAAATCTTTGCTTTTCTCTGTTTATTCACCTAATTCTATGTCCATATATTATTGTAGATTAAATATTACTTCATACAACTGTGCACTAAAATATTATTTAATTGGGTCTCTGCAATAGTGCACCGAACTATTATTTAATTCCATTTTTTAATGTTATTGTACACTTAAGTTGCTTAAATATGTCCCTGCACGCAGTTATTACATACTTCTACCCCGAATATTTCAAATAAAATTCTACCTCTCTATGTTATAGTATAGAAACCAATTATTTGAGTAAGAAACAGGAAAAACGAGCGATGCCCTAGCCGAGACTCGAACTGCGGACTTTCCTATTGGCAGCCAGAAGTGCTTCCAAGTTACACCAAAACACGTGATAAAGACGGAGAAATTGCTTTACATCTGTACACCGAAAAATACTTAATTATGCCCCTACGTAAAATCGTTCACTAAAATGTTACTTAATTACGTTCGTACATATAATTGTACATCGAACTATCATTTTATTCCATCTCTACATATTTAAATGCACACAAAAATGTTACTTAATTATGCCCATACTTAAAATACCCCATACTTTAAAATTTTATTTAATTACGTTCCTAAGTAGATTTGTAAACAGAACTATCATTTAGTCCTGTCTCTATATGTAATTGTACAAGAAAATGTTACTTAGTTAAGCTTCTACAGATAATTGTACATTGAAATGTTATTCAGTCGCGCTTCTACATACCCTTTTACATCTAACCATTAACTAATTTCATCTCTTTATGTTATTGTAAGCCGAAATATTACTTAATTGTACCTCCTACTTACAACTGTACACCAAAACATTACTTAATTAATTAATTATAATAATTAAGGTCTCTGGAACTATTCATTAATTCTATATCTAGATGTTATTGTAAACCAAAATGTTGCTTAATTAAGCCCCTGCAAGCACTTGTACACTAAAAGGCCCCGACAAACGACTATACACAGGCATGTAATATCCCTCCATACTATTGCATGCGTACGGGTTCGTTATAGATTGAATGCATACAGTTTCTATGGTAGGTTGATAAAAATTTACTTTACCAAGGGAAACACTTCACAGTTCTGGAACTTTTGACAAAAAGTAATCGTACAACTCTTCACAGCATCACAGAGCACAGTTAGTAATCGCACTTCAAACTACTAAGAAAGTTGAACACAAAGCAATGTATAGCGCATCTAAAGAGCGAAACCAAAAGCGATACCTGAAATATTTCATGATTACAATACTTCCTTTATTTATACAAGGAGGTAATAAAATGGTTATTTTAACCATCTCAAGACTTTGTCGTTGTTCTCGGACATAGCGAAGATCCGCTTCACGTCTGCTAGAGTTATAGGACTAAAATAGCATTGCCAGATCAAGTGTAACCCTATAACATGTAGCTGTGTGCACTGGTATGCCGTTAAGAATACATCTCAAAGATATGCCTGTGTACTTGTAGGGTCTTCCTATGGAAAGCAGCTTGTATCATTGTCCTTCAGATCTACTAGAAATGACAAGCGAGCTATCGCTCTAGCTTTAATTAAGATGGCAAAGTCGTAAGAAATTTAAAATAGCCTTTTTATTGAACACTTACTGAGATCGCAGTTAATGATATCATTCGGATTATGGTTACCGATTTTCCGAAATCCCGCTTTTTAGTAAACGAAAACATGGAAAATACATCGCTTGTTGCGATCAACAATTCGGTTAACATTATCAGAAATTACAGAATACATTATATAAGAGTTCACTTGATCTGGCAATGCTATTTAAGTTCTAAAAACCCTAACGGACGTCAAGCGAGTTCTCGCCATATCTGAGAACACCAATAAAGTCTTTACAATGTTAAAATACCTTCTTATTTAAATATAACTAAGAACATAGTAAGTATATATTCTTGTATTACAGCGACCACAACTCGTGGTAATGCAAAATAATTAAATAGAACAGTTCAGTTTAACATAAACGTTTAACAGCTGTCAAAGACTACACAATTAAATATAACTTAACGGTGTTTTAGGAGAAGTGGCCAAGCCCCAATTCTTCGAAGGCCTCTTCTTGTTGAAGTCTTGTATGTTCCAAACGGGATTGACTGGATCGTGAACGAAATACCGTCTGGCAGCTGTTTCTTGTACACCTACCACCCCGTTCAGTTCGCAGTCAGAGAGCATGTTCGAGCGGCTGACGTGGAACCACAAATCGCAAACAAAGTATTTCTGGTTGAAGATGGTTCCGACAGGGTAAAGGAAATAGTTTCTGCCATTCCCTTGTTAACAAATAACATGGAAAACCTGAAATAGAATGTTTATTTAATTACATGGTTGTCTGTTAAACGATAGCCGCAGAAATCTTATGACTTTTAAAACTGCATAGAGCTTAAATTAGAATTAAATTCCATGCTGTTAAATTGCAAAATTTTAGTTTCTGAAATAAATGCTTTTAATTATTATTGTAAATACACTCTTGATAAGAGGAATGGTTCCACTAATTTTAATTAAGTTTAACTGTTATTTAAATTATTTTTATTTTTATTTAAATATTCTTTAAAATCCAAATAATATTTAATTTTTGTATTAGAAAAAAACACTAAATCTGGATCAAAAGTATTTATCCCGCCCCTTCCATGCGATAGATCATTTCAAAATTTAGATTACAAATTTGTATTCAAAAATTGAAATTTTGATTCATTTTTTCTAATCTCAAAAGAAAATAATTCTGTTGATTTTATGAGGCTTTTAAATACTCGAAAGTTTCTACAGTATTTTCTATAGAAAATTCAAGGACAGAAGCTTGTTTAGGATTCTTTAGAATGATGGCCGAATTTTCAACGAACTGTATCTGATATTTTTAGTAGAATTCTGTTAGTAGATTCTAAACACACTATGTAAGATTCTGTATGTTGATTCTCAAAAACAGTAAAAATTTTTATAGAATCTCAGAACAAATATATGTAGAAAATCTACCCGTGAGTCTATAGAATCTGTGTTCGTAACTCTGTAGCAGATATATCTAATGTTTTATAAAATTCTATAGATCCCTGATCTAGTTTATAGAAAACTGGGGCATAATTCTAAATTCTCAAAAAGGTTGATCCGTGGATTTTTTTCTTAGAATTCTATGAGAAATTTTCGTAAGGGATTTGTGGAACACTTTTCTAGTCTCTCTCCCTTTTTATTGTGCACAACATTTTTGGACAATATTTATGTGAGTATCGTCGTAAAGAAATTTCTTCATCTGTGCTGCAAACATTCGTCATCTCATTTTTAGAAGCATGTTCGGCTAGTAAGTCGGAGGTCTGCAGTTTCGAATCTCTGCTTTCACTGTCGTTTGGTTTTATAAAATCATCGAAGTCTTCATTTTTCATTCGTCGGTTAATTTTTCGATTTCTGCTTCTTCCGTATCTGAGAATTACCAGTTACTGGCACTTGCACAGTTGTTTGGCTTCATTTTAAATTGATAGAAATACTTTCAAATTATTGATGACTTCCGAGAGATGATACAAGCAAGTATTCAGTGTTGATGTGGTAACGTTGAACTCCAACGAATAAAACTAGCGGTGGACAAAGTACACTCATCAGTTGTTGAACTTTTCAAGTTCAACAACTGATGCTTCCAAAAGCCTAAATGTAAGAATAAGTGTCTTTTCTAAGGCCTAAGGTGTAATAAGCAAGTCTTTGGAGCTCTCGTCCATCAGCATTGCGTAGATAAATGAAATTGTTGGAACATTAAAATGAAATAAAAAATTAAAAAAAGACAAATATAGTTTAGTAACATATGGAGATGAATAAGCATTAGATATGACAAATATCCAGTCCGAGTCTTTGGATATGTATAAGAACGTCTCTGATTTTGGACCTAAGGTGTCTGTTCTTTATTGCATATTTCTTAAATGGTATTAGTAAATCTAAACAATTAAGATAAAGCGTAAACGCGAAACCATGTTCCGCAGGTTCAAACTCGGCAAGGGCTAACCGTACAAATAACTACTCAAACACATGCAGCTTTTGTTTAGCCTAAGCGTTTCAACATAAATCTATCTTAACATAAAACTATGCATATGAAAAAAAAATATTTATACCAATTATACGTGTAACTAGAAGTCAGCACATCTTATTGCAGTCTATATAAAAAAGATGTTCTATAATAATAGCCAATGCAGAATTTTATTCAGAGTGAACTTTACTAATTTGGATTCGTATACATTTAGCGTGTTAAATTTCACATTTAATAACTGCTCACTCTTAAATCTACTGTCTACGCAAAAAATATTCAGCCAACAGAATGAATTTATCTTATTCACAACGAATATGTTCAACTTATTCATATATCATTTTTAATTTTAACAATGGATATAACCAGATCATATACAATATGTATTCTGAATCTTACACTTTAAAAATTAATAGAATGCAAGCACTGAAATAAGAAAACACTAGATTCATTGTAACACTTCCAGTCCTTCTCAGCTCAATTAAAAAAGAACTATACACTTGAATTCTCTTAATCGACAGGCTAGTAAATGCATAATATTGGAAGCTAATTGTAGCTTGATTCATTTCCTCGATGCAAAGAGCGATAATATGCAGTGAGCATCAATCCAAATATTAATGCGTGATAAAAACCGCGAAATGTC